TGATAATACCAACATGGGCCAGTGAAGCAACATCCTCCACAACTAGACTGAAGAACAAAAGGACAGCAACTTGTCTGTTCCCCTTCCCCAATTCCCCAACACTGTTCCCCTCCTCCAATTCCTCAATAAAATCTTTAAAAAAAAATTATTTGGTAAAATCTAATACAGGTGCATTAGCTATGACCCAGAAATTACATTTTGAAGTGGTGGTCCCTGACCAGTAACATTACTGTCACTTGGAAACTGGTTAAAATTCAAATTCTGAGGCCCTACACAGGATCTGAACTAGATGGGGTAGGAGCCCAGCAATCTGTGTTAATAAGCACAGCAGGTGATTCTGATGCTGCTAAAGGTTGAGAACCACTACAGTAGAGAAACACTAGCACAGTTTTACAAGTGGATATGTATAAGAATTTATTGCAGCATTTTTTTGAAATATAAAAATATTAGTAATAATTTAGTTGATCTCCAGGAAGGAAATGGACAAATTGTGGTATATTCATATGTACTGCAGTTAAAATAAATTAACCTGTATCTACATGGATAACTCTCAGAAGCATATTGAATGAGAAGAGTAGTTTGCAAAATAAGTACCATTTTGCACCATTTATGTAAATTCTTAAGAACATCAAATATAGTGCATTGTTTACAGATATATTGAGAAGTGATATTATAAGAAATGGACTAGACTTGCAGCTAATTTGTGATAATGATTGTCTCTAAGAAAGGAAGAATGGGAGTATAGTGGGTTAAATTTTATATTTTCTTTCTAAACCAAAAAAGAAGTATGTAAGGAGGAGAGAAATAGAAACACAAANTTTTTTTTATAAAAGCATTATTGGGAGAGGACCAGAATTTGACCATTCAAAATGGTCAAATTTTCTTCAATAAGAATTTTATTTTCCCTCCTAAAGATATGCAGATACCCTGTCCCTTTACATTAACTTATAGAAAGTAAAGGAAGGCAAGCCTGAATTATCGCTGCCCATTCATCACTACCAAGAAAACCCCCCTTTATTGGTGGGGAGCAGAGTGAGGCATGTGTGTGTGGAGGGAAGCTCACAGAAGAAATTGAGCAATAATTTATACAACAGTGACACCTAAGAGCAATCTACATATGCTTAAAATAATGCTGAGGCCACAAAAAAATACTTCTACTCATGGGACTAAGCTTAGTAAGTAAAATAGGTTATCGCTCACTGAAACCAAAATAAATGCAGATGTTAAGAGATTCTTTTATAATTGAAAGGTAACAAATGAATAACTTGAAGTACAATTCCAGATTATTTTAATACAATTAGGAACTTTGAGCAGAAGGAGAAAAATAACATCATAGAAGTCTTGTCACAGTTGGGATGCAAGAACGAGGGAGGAGTGGCACAAATGTTATTTATACTGATTAATTATTGAGGCTGGGGGAGGGCGTAGATTGCAAGGTATATGTGTAAAATTGAAGGGAATTATTGGAATTGAAAAAGGTATTGGAGTTTAAAAACTACAAGAGGAACCACTAGAATATTAACTCCTTGAAAGCAAGGACCCTGTCTGCTGTGTCTCTAGGGACTAGAACAGTGACACATGATAAGCAGTTAATACATTTTTTTTTAAATGAGTGAATAAAAGGGAGAATAAGCAAAGGAAACCCAGTTTATCATGAACCAACTGTGAAACAACAAACATAGACCTTCATGTTAGAGTCAGGAACAAGAGCAGGATAGCTTTTGTCACTTGCTGTTCATCATTGTTCTTTATGTCCTAAACAGAGAAAGACAAAAAGTTTGTGGCATAAATGGAGAGAAACATAGTTGTCATAATTCACAGGTGTAACTAAATAACTAGAAAGTTTAAGTAAATGGACTGAAAAGCTTTAATGTAT